AATATAATAAAATATCCTATAAACTATAGATGTCTAATTCATTCACTTGTTTTTTAAATAAAATCCACCAATTATCAATATACTTCAAATAAATTTTGGAAATAAATAACTTTCTAGACTAATGTATTGAATAACTTAAATGACATTCTAAAAAAGGTAATTCTAGGGTGGGGGGAACAGAAGGAGGGTGTCAATGGGGAAAAAAGGAGAAACATCTGTAACAAAAATAAATTAATAAAGATAATGAAAAAAAGGTAATTCTAATGAACATAGAAAAGTAGCAATGTGTTTAGAAATCCCAATTTGTGTAACTTGGTAAAAAGTGCAAACTGAACAAGATTTTGGTGAAAATATGAAAATTTGTATCTATTACAAAGTAACTAAGTTTAACATAACCCCAAATTGCTCTCTGATTTATATCAGAAAAGTGCAATTTAAACAAAAATAAAGTGACCCCATTTACACAGGTTTATCATTCATACATACAAGCTTTTCCATATTATTTTCGTTGCCAAAGAGTTTTCAACTTTAATGTTGTTTAGTAAAAGTACCTCCATAAAAAAAAAATAAATATATATATAAATGAGCCCAATAATATATAATTTGAATGTGATTACAGAAAACATTTTCCCCAATAGCATAAAAAATTATTTTTAATTAAGATTTTTTTCCTCCAATATTTTAATTTTCTAGCAGAGTTAACATTACAAACAAAATTATGTCCCAAAGTTTCTAGATACTACTGTGTTATTTCTGGACTGACGTTGGGGGACTAGTTTATACACAAACCTTTGCTATAATGTGATCATTCCAATATTAAAAATAGCCAAAAGATCTTGTACACAATCTGAGAAGACTCCGTATTATAACTAATTTGTAGGGAGTCACATGTAAGACCACATGTGAAATTTATATTCATACAGAGAGGGTGGGGAAAAAAAAAAAATCACAAAATACTAGTATTGCTCTCCCCGCAAGCAAGCAAGCAAGCAAAGGAACAAAAAAAACCTGTAGGTGGCTGTCTGGCAAAATTCAGTGCAGAGAGAGTAACTATCTGTCTGGCAGACTTAGAAATTCAATTTACTTAAATGTCCTCTACTTTAAAATGTCTAAGGTACAGGAAACATCTTCAAGTGTTCAAAACAGGTAAAATGGCCCTGGCTGGTTTTGCTCAGTGGTTAGAGCGTTGGCCCTCGGACCAAAGACTTGTGGGTTCGATTCCGGTCAGGGGCATGTACCTGGGTTGCAGTTCGGTCCCCAGCCCTGGTCGTGCGGGAGGCAACCAACTGATCTTTCTCTCTCCCTCTCCCACTCTATCTGAAGATAAATGGAAAAATATCCTCGGGTGAGGATTAAAAAAAAACACACACAAAAAAACAGGTAAAATGTTTAACTTAATTCTCCATCAGAAAGGACACATAATATTTTCTAAGTAGAGAAAAAAAAACACCTACTTATTTAATATTGAAAATTTTAAAATATTTCAAAGAACTGATTAAGAATATACTGCATACACAAAACAATTGTTTAACAGTAAGACTTTTACTAATAATGCATTGTGCAACAGACATAGTTTCATTCCTCCAAGTACTTGTTTCTGAGTATCCAAATTTTCATTGGCCTTGAAGAAAGTTGGCATCGATGATGTAAATATCTTAACATAATTTATCTTTTCCTTCAAAAATTTCTGCCATGTTCACTTTACACACCACAAACATAAATATAAAACTGGATATAATCCAAATATCTAACAACAGGTGTATATCATACATCAGAATACTGTACAGTGTTTTTTTTTTTTTTAAAAACCAACTAGATCTACATTGTTAACATGAACAAATCTTCAAAATAACGTTGAGTGAAAAATGAAAGTTGCAGAATACATGTAAGAGTACGAGATCAATTGTATAAAGCTTAAAAACACACAAAAGACTACATATTGTTCATGGATACATACATATGCAGAAAAGGTATAAAAGCATGTACAGAAATAATACACATCAACTTCAGAATAGTGGTTACCTACAGGGAAGATAGAGAATGGATAGAATGAGATGGATACAAAGGGGGCTTAAACTCTACCCACAATGTTCAAAATTACAAAAAGATTTGAAACAAATATGGTATGTTAACATTGTTCAATCTGGTGGTGTTACACAGAAACTCATATTATTCTCTGTACTTTTCAATTTTGAAATCCTTCATAATAGAAATAAAAACATTCACAGAATAAAGAAAAAAATTGAATCATTGCTGCCATTTCCAGATTTGATAATTTGGTACACTAAAACAGGACACAGGTTTTCTTTACCCAAATAAAACAATGAGTATTAACAGAAAACATTACATAATTGACAATTTACACTTTTGTCAAATATCTCTAATTACTATATTATAAATATACAACAATTAAAGAACAGGATTTAAGTACTTCTACTCCAAAACTCTACCTTTGCTTGAGTCAAGGATCTAATTTCATACCACAAACTGGCTTTCCTTGCTTTAAAGAATACCCCTTTGAATTTTCTTGTATGCCATTTCCTTTAAATGTGGTTGAGAATAAAAGGCTTAATGTACAGGGTATAGCAGAGACCTGCCTAACTGTAAGTTAAATAAGACTAATGAACACACTGTATTCTAATATAAACTAACAGGGCTTAATTCAAAAATAATAAATTATTGCCAGTACATAAACTTTCACTTTTCAGTTTGAAACTTTTAACCTGCAAGGGAAATATATATGGTCTGTTACTTTGTTTACCAAGTATGTTTTTTCTTGTCAGGAAAGCTTTCCCATCTTTGTCAGATTAATACTTCCTGGATCACAGATGAGGTCTTTCAAATTAAAGATAAACAACTACTTGCCTGTTGTTTCTGATATGCAGTGTTTGGATTTATCTTTGATTCCAAGAGTAGTGATCCTGAAAGATAAAAAATAATACCTGTAAGTTTCAATTTATAAAAACCTGAATAAAAAATTAGAGTCCACATTAAAAAAACAAAAATAAAACATTTCATGTTTTCTTCACTCATCTAAACATCTGAAGTAATCAAATGTACTCTAATTCACATTTTTCTCTCCAGATATTTTTCTCTCTTCATATTTAATTTAGAACATATCATCCTATCCCCAGAAACCCTTAAAGGAAAAAAAAAATCCATCTAAGACAAACATTCATACCAAGAACATAAGGAGACTTGATGACTATTAAAGTTTTATTGAAATGAGATTTTAAGGTCTAAATGACCACTTGAAGCAAAACTCTTTTTAACAGTTATTTTATTGAATTTCCAGGTGAACAAATAAAACAAATTACAAAGGACCACAATAAAGATCTAAGTACACAAATTACGTAACTGCATTTATCCTTTTCTCCTTAAGAACAAAAGAACACTGGCTGTAGAAATAAACGTCCACGACTATTTAAAAAAGAGGAAAAGTACAGTAGTACAAAATACATCAAGAATAAATCTAAGATTGTTATGTTTCTATTATCTGCAGATAGTTTCAGGTTACAACGCGAAAGGTGTTTTAATTACGGCTCTACATTTCATGATTTAAAAATACTTCTCCTATGACTCGTACAGTAAATCAACGAATACAAGTTTGCTATCTGCTCTGGTGCCCTAACTTGTTTAGGTTTTAAATAATCCACAGCAACCTACAAAGGCAGCCTGGAGGGGTCCCAGCCTTAAGATTTATGTGCTTGTGCGTGTGTGTATAGTGGCAACAGTCTGTAATAACCCCAGGCTTTAAAAGGTGCCTTTTGGTTTTCCCCAGCACCTGTCGACAGTGGCAACTGGGGCTCGTTGGTAAAACAGGTTAAAGGAAAAAAAAAAAAAAAAAAAGACCCAGGAAGAAAAGTTTCACTAGACCTTTTCTACCAGTCATACAACAAATAAAATGAAAAGAGGAGGGAGGACCTTGGAACGAGTCGAGATCAATACTTGTCTCTCATTAGCTTCCTCCCTTCTCTCTCTCTTCCCCTCTTCAAAAGGAGAGAGACTGGAGAGGAAGGGGTCAAATCCTTACCAGGGACGGGAGGCGGAGGACAGACCAGGCGTCTACTGAGGGTAAATCCGGGCCAGGCAGTTTGTGTTTACCGTACAGAAGTGCAGGAACCAACCCGACGCGCCGTATCCACAGGGGAGTCCCAGGACCCCGTCTGCGGCCTACACCCAGGCTGTGCCCACCTGGACGCGTTACGCTCTAGCCTACCGTTCCAATAACCTTACCGTCGGACTCCGCCCGAACCAGCAGCGACATCCCCTTGAGCTCCTCCACATAAGTGGAAGAGACGTGCCCGGTGCCTCGGTCGTCCCATTGCCGGTCTTCATTCAGGGTATAGACCTTCACTCGCCGCCGCGTATCCGACATCGTGGCTGCTGTCCCCACCGCTTCAGGCGCCGCCTCCACGTTCACCTCGTCCGCGCCCCTCACTCTTGAGAGACGGTAGCGGCGGCGGCGGCGGCGGCGGCGGCTCCGGCTCCGGCTCCGGAGAGGCCCAAGTTCACCATGGCTCCCAAGGTTCAGCCTCGAGAAGGGGCGACAAGAACCATCGAGACCTCTCCGGCCGGAGTCCCGGTTACCTCTCACTTTACCCCCACTCGCACCCACCCTCCCCTCCCTTTGCCCCCCAGAGCTCGCTCGCTCTCCCGCCGCCGCGGTAACTACTACACATCCGCCATCTTGTAACCCGATTCTCTCAGCCTTTCTCTTCCTCCTCCAGCCGGCTCGTACGGGCTGTCCTAGCAGGGGCTACGGCGGCCGACGAGGCCGACGCTCGGCACCTCAGCTGCTGCTTGCGCTTCCAGGGCCAGCAGTACTCGGCGTTCTCGCGTGGCGGAGTGCTGAACTGAGGTGGGAGGGACTGAGTGCTAGTTCTTCCTCTCTTGGCCACGCCTGCTGGCGCGGGATCTCGGCTGAGTTGGTGGTTCTCGCGATCTCCCCGCCCCCGCTGGTGACGCGCGCTCTTTCTGAGTGGGCAGGGAGAATTGAGTTGTGGATCCCGCCCGGTCTGGTGGCTGGCAGCAGCCGGTGCGTGACGAGGAGTCGTTCGGCCAGGCTCCGAGGGAAAGCAGAACCTGGGAGGTATGCATTCTTGGACTGGCCCAACCTTGAGCAAAAAAGATGTGCTCGCATTCCGTAGTGGAAGCTTTTTCTGTGGAGACGTAGGAGCTTTGAGGCTTTTAAGGTTTCCCTAAAACTACTCAAACTCGTTTGCAGTCTGTTACAGTTACGGATCTCCTCGGGAAGTGTTCACTGGATCTCCTGATGATTATAACGTCGAACAACAACAACAACAAAGTGTGTTGACGGTTTGGTTTCCTATTTCCCGCCAAAGCGTCTCACGGTTGCGTTTTCTGTAGCTGACCATTGAAAAGTAGACGGTCCGCTCCATGAAAATACGGTGCCCTTGTGGTTGTAACCTCGGAAGATAAGTCTTCAGATGAATTCAGGGAACTGGTTGGGAGCCGCCTTTCTAACACATCCAAGAACACTGTTTGATACTTTGAGTTTCTCTTGTGGGCACGTCTTGCATGATCTCTCGGGAGGTCTTTTGCACTGAAGAAGCGGACGGGTTGTTCTCGCGGCGTTCACGTTCGTTGTCAGACATTGCGTGGTGGATACAAGTCATGCGCTGGGCAGTCGTTTATATTCATCTCCGTTCGTTCTTGGTAGAATCCCTTAATTCTTTAAACCAGCCTCAGTCTGTGTAGTCGCCAGTTATTTACAGCCCATTAGTTTGAAAGGTGAAAATCGGGCGAGGTGCACATGTTGACCCTGCAGGGCATCTTGGGAATTGTAGTCATTAAAGGTCTTGTCAAAACGTGCTTTTGTTTTGACCAGCCCTTGGGTGGACACCTTTCGGCGGTACCTTAAAACGAGAGACAATGTTTTACACAGAGCATGCGCCTCATAAAAAAAATTCTAATGTCAAAATTTGGATACACAGGTTTTTATTATTATTATTATTATTTAAAGAGGACCTCAGAAAATGTGCTTGAATTAAGAAGTTATGCATAACAATAGAACCCATTAATTGCTTTGATTGACAGGGAAAAAATACATTTTGAGCCTAGAGAAAATAACATGTTTGTCTTGGGTTAGTGCAAGCTTCACACAGATGATTTTGAGCCTGATGTTGGAAGATCCCTGAATGGATATTTAGCTTGCAAAGGTGTTCAAGGCTGAGGGGACAGGGTAAACAAAGTGATAATGTGTTACTGGCCTAACATAACTTATATAAATTATAGATAAGTTAAAGGAATGAGAACTGTGCAGAAGTCACTTTAACAATATGTGTTAAGAGGTTAGTTAATACACTACAAAAAATCTAACTCTGGAGAAAATTGTGAAATAATATGAGTCATTTTCTGAGTTATTCAGGCATTCAACCAATGTTTTCTGAGCATATACTATACACTAGACATTGGTCTGTACAGTGAATAAAATAGGAAAAGTCCCTCTTCTCATGGAGCTTACACTCTAATGTAGAAAGACAAACCAACCAGGTGCTGATAAACATTATGACCAAAAATAGAGTAGCAGAAGGTTAGAGAGTGAATTTGGGATGGGTAATGGTGTTTATTCAGGAAGTCCTCTTTGAGGGAGGCAAACAGCCAAGCATTTCCCCAGGGCAAGAGAGAGCCAGGAACTGGGAAGCAAGTACAGAGGCCTTGAGGCTGTTGCATGCCAAGTGAATGAGTGGGATAGCAAGAAAACCAGTGAGACTGAAGGGCAAGAAAGGGGAAAAATGGTGAGAAATAAGTTTGGGAGTGGGACGGGGTATTTTTAAGGGCCTTGCATTTTACTTTGGATGAGTTGCAAATCCATTGGAGGGTTTTAAACTAAGGAGTGAAATGGTCTGACTAATGTTCCAAAACAAGTTTCCCATCTTCTCTTTAGAATCTCTTTTCTGGTATAACCCCTGAGATCTGGTGATTTAGAGAAATAAGGGAGAAGATTAAACCCCTGGGACTCTGCCTCTTGCTAGACCCTCAGGCACAAATTCTGCCTTGTTTTCTTCCACTAGGCCAGAGGGATTCACTCTCACCTATTCTACTGCAGCAGGCCCATCTAACATTTGTAGAGATGGACATTTGCAAGGCCAGGACAAGCATATAAGTGGAACACCGTATACCATAAGTCTGCATATCTGTAAGTTTTAAATCAAGCTAACAAACTCTTAAAATATATTTTCTCCAACCTTTGGTTTACTTGGACAAATATAGGATGTCCCCCCAAAAATGTATACACACTTGAATAATTATAAAGCCAGTGTCTATTAAAATACATTTCATTTTCAAAATGTAATAGAACCTACATATTGTTTAATTATTTTGTCAACGCCTGTTTTAAAACATGTCCTGCCAGGCACTGCTGATAACGAGAAGCAGTGGAATAGCAAATATCAAGAATCATTTTGTTCAGTATTTGTGCACATTCTCTTTCAATAGCTGTCCTCAATTTTTCAACTGTTGCTGGTTTTGTATTGTAAACTTTATCTTCTCTGTCTCCCCATAAAAATTTTGTTTGTTCAAAGCTTAGTTGGGATTCACCCATTATTTAAAATCAGTTAAACCTGCAAAGGAGTAAGAATTAGTGAGTTATCAGCTGTTAAAGTATACATATTTTTGTTTTTGGTCATCCTGTATGTTTTCATATTGACCTGGAAGCCAGAGTCAAATCTAGAATTCGTGAATTCCTCAGTTCCAGAGTCTCCCTCTGCTCCCTGGTGCCCTTAGTCTGCCTGCCTTCTCTTCTCACACCTCAGTTCTGTCCTGCATTTTGACAGGCCTTAATTGCATACATAGGATTCCCCAGCCTTTGTACAAGCTCTGTCTACACTTCCTGAATATAGTCACCCCCTCTTCGCCACTCCTCAGGAGGATAAAACAGGACTGTGTAGACCCTGGAAGCAGGCTTGGCTTTTGGGGTGGACACATCCTTTGGTTCCATGGACTTATCACCCTGTGGGAAGAAGCATGGACAGAGAGCCTGAGCAGGTTCCTCTAAAACACGGCCCAGCGCTTACTTGGGTCTGAGAGCAGTACTGCAACAATATATTTTTCCTAAGGAAGGTTCTTTTCTTCAGTCATCAAAGTTCCACTACAAGGATTGAGATATATTTATATAATTTACATACAATATTTACATCTACCACCCTTTTTTTTTAAAAAAACACGAATAATGGACTACTATACACGTTCTACAAATGTACCCTAGTTTGTATATAAACCAGCTCCTGTTTATGTATATGTATATCATTTCCAATATTTTGTAGTTTCAAACAATAAATGATTGTACAGAAGTTATTTCATGTGCACAATATATTTATAGGTTAAATTACCAGAGCAAGTTTTTTTAAACCTTGGCCCCATTGACATTTTGGGCTGGATAATTCTTTGTTGTTGAGAGGCCATCCTGTGCATTACAGGATGTTCAGCAGCATCCCTGGCTTCTACCTACCAGATGCCAGTAGTATTGTACCCCCTCCTCTATTTGTGAATACCAAAATGATCTCCCATCATTGCCAAAAGTCCCTTGAGGACACATTACACTTTTAAAAAATTCTTGAGGATTTAAAAATATATATTGTTAATTTTTGCAGGGTAAACTGGATTTTCAGTCTCATTGACTCTTGTCCTTGAAATGTGAGGCTTTCAATTTTTTACATTTCCCAATTCTGGTAGGTGTTTTTTTTTTCAATCCTCACCCAAGGATATTTTTCCCTTTATCTTCAGATAGAGTGGGAGGGAGGGAGAGAGGAGAAAGAAACATTGATATGAGAAAGACACATCGACTGGTTGCCTTCCACACAACCCTCACCAGGGCTGGGGATGAACCGCAACCAAGGTACATGACCTTGACTGAAGTGAACCTACCACTCATTGGTCCGCCAGCTGACCCTAACCAGTGAGCCAAACTGGCCAGGGCTCTGTTAGGTGTTTTTTTTTTTAATCCTCACCCGAGGGCATTTTTCCATTTTTTGTTCAGGTAGAGTGGGAGGGAGAGAGAGGAAGAGAGACACATCGAGTGGCTGCCACCCACACGACCAACCAGGGCCGGGGACAAACTGCAACCAAGGTACGCGCCCTTAGCAGGAACTGAACCCGGGTCTCTTGGGACCGCAGGCCAGTGCTCTGAATGCTGAGCCAACTCGGCCAGGGCTGTGTTAGGTGTTTTTATGGAATAACTTTTATGAAAGTATTTTTCCTATATTAACTCATTTTTTCATGAAGGTGATTAATCGTTAAGGCTTCCCCATTTAAATAAAGCACGATAAGATAGGAAAGCTATATTCCTATTTCTTTTCCTCTTTATAGCCAGTTCAAGGATTGAAATTGTTTGTATTCCTTTTCCTCATCTGCCACTCACTCCTCAATTGAATCCATGCTGGTTTCCATTAACCCAGCTCTTACCAAAAAACCTTTTGATAAACTCACTGAAGACATCTATGTTGATAATGCCAATGGACATTTTAAACCCATTTTACTTGATCTAAGTTAAAATGAACATGTTGACCACTTCCTTCTAGAAACACTTTATTTGCTTTTCTTTCTTGACAAATTGCTGCTCTAAATTTTCCAATAAAGAAATTCTGAGGTCACCACTTTCCTTACCAGAACTACTGCAGTGTAGTTTCCTGTTAGTCTCTTTGAATCCACTATGGCGGTTCTGTCCCACCCCTAGCACCAGTCTCTTCTCCATTGTACAACTAGATGATCTGAGCTGGAAATTTGATCATGTTGTTAGTCATCATTTCCTCTTTCCTCTTGTATCTCACCCCTGTATGTTACTAAAAATCTTTTGGTGGCCAAAATCCTTTTTATAACTTATAAGGCCCTTTTGGTTCTGTTTCTGCCTATGTCTCCAGTTACATCTTAGAACCCATATATTCTTTTTAGACCAAGAACATCCATACATACACAATCAAAATATGATGTAGTTATTTGATGAGTAAATGCTTTTTCTATAGTTCCTAAATATTTTTGTACTGCCTTATTCCAGTTAGGATCCCATTTATAATATTTACTCCACTATGTTTATGGTGTTGTGGCCAATTTGAAAGACAGTATGTCATTAAAAAACAGATCAAATTAGCTCCCTCAACTCCTTACTATATTTGGTAACTGTACTAAAGAAATAGGCACTAGCTTTGAATATGGCAAGTTCTAGTTTGTGAAATAGTTGTAGGCAAGTAAAATTGGGTAAAGAGGTGAGCCATAAGATGACCAAGAGTAAATATGTAGGAAGAGATCCATTACAGTAGCAAATGTGATCTATTATTTCTAAGTTTTCCAGATATTTCAGAATTACAGGAAATAAAGGTTAGTAATCCTTTCTAAGATGTATGTATAAATGTTATACTTTTTATTTTTTTATTTAAAAAAATGTTTTTATTGATTTTTTTTAGAGAGAGAGGAAGGGAAAAAGAGAAACATCGATTGGCCGCCTCCTGCACACTCCCTACTGGGGACTGAGCCTGTAATCAGGGCATGTGCCCTCACCAGGAATCAAACCGGGACCTCTCCGTCCATGGTACAACACTCAATCCACCGAGCCACACCAACTGGGCAATAGTTTACTTTTTTAAAAATTGTTTTTAGAGAGAGGACGGGGGAGGGAGAAACAGCAATATTGATGTGAGGGAGAAACATCGATTGGTTGTCTCCTGCAGGTGCCCCAAATGGGGATCGAACCTGAAACCTGGATTTGTGCCCTGAATGAAAATCAAACCCACCACCTTCTGGTGTACAGGAAAATGATACAACCGAGCTACCCGGCCAGGGCTAAATGGTTTACTTCTAATAATAAATATTTGATTTATAATATAAATAAGAATAAGGGAATATAGGTAATATTTTTTTAACCCTCACTTGAGGATATGTTTTTATTTTTTATTTATTAATTTTTATTCCTCACCTGAGAATGTTTTTGTTTATCTTCAGATAGAGTGGGAGGGAGGGAGGGAGAGAGAGAAACATTGGCATGAGAGGAACACATCAAGTAGTTACCTCCCACATGACCCCGACCAGGGCTGGGGGTGAACCAGAACTGAGGTACGTGCCCTTGACAGGAACTGAACCTGCGGCTCATTGGTCTGTAGGCTGACGCTCTAACCGCTGAGCCAAACCCACCAGGGCTGTTTTTATTTTATTTTTTTAGTGTGGGAGGAAGGCTGGAGGGAGGGAGGGAAAGAGAGAGAAACATCAATCGGTTGCCTCCCAAATGCACCCCTACCAGGGGATTGAACCCACAATCTGGGTATGTGCCCTGACTGGGAATTGAACCCACAACCTTTTGGTGTATGGGATGATGCTCCAAGCAAATGAGCCACCTGACCAGGGCTAGGTAACTCTTGAAATAAAAAATGGCACATGTGAAATGAGCATTTTAATATAAACCATTAGAATATATTTATAGTATATATAAATCTATACATTAGAAGATACTACTGAAATTTTGCTCTACAGATTTTTATCCTAGAATTAATTCTCTTTAAAAAATGTGTCATGGGGAAGAATTAGAAGATGACCGTGAAACAGATTCTCCCATTACAATACTGCTTCTGTCATTTAGAGTTTTGACAACAGTTGTAGCTGGAGACTGCAGCACTTTGCGAGAAAGCCTCATTCTTCCATCAGCTGGATCACGTCCAAAGTATTTCACCTGTGTTAAAGAAACAAATTTACTTTTAAAGTCATTGCACACTGATTGACATCCAAATGACAAGATTTAAATTTACATGGTCCAAATAAGGCACTGATTAATGTTTTTCCTTGTTCGCTGAAACCATAGCTCAGTGCTAAGTGAGGGTATATGAATAAATATAATTTGGTCAAGTGGTGATTATAAAAAAGGAAGAGGGATAGGGCATTATTTGCCTAATTATAATTTTCTGTTAGACTCATCTGTGCCTTCTTATTCTCTCCAGGCCAGGTCCCTAGACCAGAAGAACAGTGAAAACTCATGGTAAATGATTCTAGACAATGACTTTTCAGCCTAACTGTGCTATAAACTAAACAGTATTATGCTTTGCTTAGGTCACTCAGACTACTGCTCAAAAGACTATCACGGTGGAGGATATTTAGTTTGACCGTAGACAATTAAAGTCAGGGAAATGTGACAATATTTAAGTCCCTTATGTTTAAAAATAATCTTATACAGAGATATTATGTCTTAGTTCTTATCTTTACCTGGAGGCTACTTGAACAGTGGGAATATAGACTGAGAACAAATTAGAAGCCACAGTTACTCAGACCATGGGTATTAAGTATAACTGCAACAGAATGTGGTGTGGCCCAAAAAACCCAGGCTGGCAATAAGTTCTTTCATCTGCTCATAAGGCAGATGAAAAAGGCCAATTTTGTTATCAGTTCTAGAACTGAACATGGCTTTTATCAAACTCAAAAACATTTAGCCTCAAGCAGTGTAGAAGCAAGTAGTCTTAACTCTTTAAATATGACATTCAAGACCTTCAACAAAGTGACATTTTCAGGGTTCTCATGACCTGTCACCAAATCACTGACACTGCACAGCCATCACTGACCTGCTCATGTAATTTTAAAAGCTCGAAAGGGGACTATTATTCTAACTAAACTGTAAACTCCTTGAGGGAAAGAATTAATTGTCTTAAATCTTTAATGAGTCTGTTTAAGCAACCCTAAGATTTTGAAGCACAGCATATAAATAATACAAATCAAAACTGTTGCCCTGGCTGGGTAGTTCTCAGTTGGTTAGAGCTTCTTCCCAATATGCCAAGGTTGCAGGTTCTATCTCCTGTCAGGACACATACAAGAAGCAACCAGTGAACAAATGTTGACTGATTCTTTCAGCTTATTTTTTGAAATAACTGGTACTTAAAGTACAATTTACAATTCTAAGGCTAAAAGTTTGAATATAAGTACCTGAATTTCTTGACCAACTTCTAATCCTAAGGCAGTGGGATGTTGAATCTGAAAGAGAAACATGTTAATCTATTAGTTGTCATGCATAATTAATATCAATGGTAGTACATTTTTTCCCAAGTGGAAAATAGCTTTATTGGTTTTTCTGATTATAAAATCTTAAAGATTTAAAATAATACAGAAGTATTCAGATGATAGTAAAAATCATCTAAAACCCTTCTACTTGTAATAAACTATTACTCACATGCCAATGAGTATCTCTTCAAATGTTTCCCTAGTCATTGTGTGTTTTGCATTTGTAAAAAATGGACCTTTCTGAGCTTGTTCCATTCAGTATATTGAAGACATCTTTTCATATCAATAAATGAAACATTACAGTTGAGTATTCAAATGATATAATTTGTATAATCAGTCCCCTATATATGGTCATTTAATTTGTTTTACATTCCTGGGTTGTAAAGGTTAATAATTGGTGAAGACAGGAGAAATATGGGTGTTCACTGTATTTTCCAAAATAAAAAGTTGAGAAAAAGTAAACTGCAGTGTTGCAATGATTATGTATTCATCTACTCTAATCCTCAGAACAAAGACCTATGTGGAACACCTAGGTCCAACGGTACTCATATACATTTACCAAATACAGTACTTTCCAAAAGTTTGTCCCAATTTACATTCCTATTAATACTGTATGAGAATGTCCATTTCTCCTCTACATTCTTATCCACACGGGAATTTTCAACTATGAAAAATGGTAACTTTTTATTTGCATATAAAAAATTACAAATAAAATATTTTGGTTGGCTTTAAAAAATTATTTGTCATGTTCTTTGCTCATTTTCCTATTGATAGTCATCTTTCTTACTGATCTGTACAAGACCTTTGTATATGAAACCTCTGTCAGATGTTATAAGGAATTTTTTCTTTAAGCTGTTGTTTGTCTTTCAACCTTACTGTAATTTTGCCATATAATTAAAAAAAAATCTGGTCTAATTTTATCAATTTATTTACATTTTGGCTTTGATACCATGCTGAGAAATATTTACCCAGTCCCAAGATTATTAAAATATTCTAGTCTTCCCTCAACAGCCTCCCATGTCCCAATTTTCTTTTTCTTCTTTCATCACCTTAATTTTTTTAAACTGTTAGCTTCTTGATTCATATGGGATTTTTGTATTAAAAGAGTAGAGATCCTCCTTTATGATAATCAGCTGTACCAGTATGATTTATAGAATTTTTGATTCTTCCTAGACTGAAAATACAATGTTTGGCATGTGTTCTAGTCCCCTGTACATAACTGGGTTTATTTCTGGACTTTTTTTTTTTTTTTTTTTATCCTCACCCGAGGACACTTTTTCATTCTTTGTTCAGATAGAGCAGGAGGGAGAGAGAGAGAGAAACATCGATGTGAAAGGGACACATCGAGTGGCTGCCACCCGCATAACCAACCAGGGCCGGGGACAAACTGCAACCGAGGTACATGCCCTTAGTGGGAACCGAACCGGGGTCTCTCCGGACCGCAGGCCAACGCTCTAACCGCTGAGCCAAACCGGCCAGGGCTGGACTTTTTTTTCTGTTTCATGGATTGTCTATTTCTGGGCCAGTAATAATACACTGTGTTATTCTCTATAGCTTTATATTTTAACATATGGTAAAAACAGACACTATATCATTTTCTTGAATATCTTCGTATTTTGTCTATGAATTATAACAAAGTTTAAATAAATTTAAAAACATCCTAAGAATTATCATGCAATGACTGGCTGGTCAAGAAAATTGGAAAAACAGGAGAATTTGTTTTAAAGAAGCTGTGACCAGCTGCTGGTGCCAGAAAGTCTTTTCTCCCCTGCCCTGTCTCTCAGAATATATCAGTTTTCTAGAGGTGAGCAGCCAAACTTGGATTTTTCAGTAACCCTAGAGAGAGGGAGAGAGAAACATCAATGAGAGACTTCCAGTCAAGATGGTGGCGTAGGTAAACAGGGTATCGCGTCCTCCCACAACCACATCAAAGTTACAACTAAAAACTACAGAACAACCATCATTCAAATCGCCTGAAATTGAGCTGAATGGAAGTCCTACAACTACGGAATTAAAGGAGCAGCCACATCGAGACTGGTAGGAGGGGCGGAGGAGTGACAGGCTGGTCCCACACACACACACATGTGGCAGATAAAAATCAGGAGGACACCTTGGCTGGGAAGGTCCTCTGAGGACTGAGGGGTCTCCGTCCCACACCAGGCACCTAGCTCAGGGTTCCAGTGCCCAGAAGCGAATCTCCATAACTTCTGGCTGGAAAAACCAGCGGGAACTGAGGCTCAGGGAGGCTGAGGTGGCTGGACCCCCAGGCAGCTCCTCTTAAAGGGCCCACGCAAGGACTTACCGAACTCACTCCCTCTAAGCTTGGAGGGGAGTCAGCTCGAGGGGCGACAGAGACATACAGGGAAGGACTGAGCTGTTTGGCACTGGAGCGAGGGCTGGAGAGGGGGCTTTCTCCGGGACAGACGTGCAGTCAGAGGCCTTTGTTCCTTTGGTGAGCCCTTCCCTGGAGTGGCAGACAGCTGCCCTATCTGGGACTCCAGCAACTTGGCTCATACTGATTGCCCCGCCCTGGTGATTCCCTGAGGCCCTGCCCCACCCAACTTTCAGGCCCACCCAAGCTGTTGGCAGTTGGTTAACTATAGGATTGGCCTGTCTCAGATCCTGTTTCAGGTTTTCCTAAATTCTTTCTAACAAGCAGCATCTGGTCTCAGCTAGACCCATACCTTTCGTTAAGTAATACACAGAAACAAACACAGGGAGGCAGCCAAAATGAGGAGACAAAGAAACAGGTCCCAAATGAAAACAGAACAAAACCCCAGGAAAAGAACTAAGCAAAATGGAGATAAACAACCTAACAGATGCTGAATTCAAAACACTGCTTATAAGGATGCTCAATGGACTTATAAGGATCCTCAGCGAACTTAGTGAGGGCCTCAAGAGCATAAAAAAGCACCAGTCAGAAATGAAGGAGGCACTAACTGAAATAAAGAATAATTTACACAGATTCAATAGTAGAGTAGGTAAAGCCCAGAAGCAAACTATCGATTTGGAATATAAGGAAGCAAAAATCACCCAATCAGAACAGCAAAAAGAAAAAAGAATCCCAAAAAAGGAGGATAATGTAAGGAGCCTCTGGAACAACTTCAAGGGTAACAACATTTGCATCTTGGGGGTGCCAGAAGGAGAGGAGAGAGAACAAGAAATCAAAAAGGTATTTGAAACAATATTGGCAGAAAACTTCCCTCACTTTGTGAAGGAAACAGACATACAAGTCCAGGAAGCACAGAGAGTCCCAAACAAGATGAACCCCAAGAGGCTCACACCAAGACATATCATCATCAAAATGCAAAAGGTTCAAGACAAAGAGAGAATCTTAAAAGCAGCAAGAGAAAAGCAGCTAGTTACCTACAAGGGAGTTACCATTAGTCTGTCAGTTGATTTCTCAAAAGAAACTTTGCAGGCTAGAAAGGAGTGGCAAGAAGTATTCAGAGTGATGAAAAGCAAGAACCTACAACCAAGATTACTCTATCCTGCAAAGCTGTCATTTAGAATCAATGGACATATCAAGAGTTTCCCAGACAAGGAAAAGCTAAAGGAGTTCATCACCACCAAACCATTATTATATGAAATGTTGAAGGGTCTTCTTGAAGGAAAAGATAAAAAGTATGAACAAACAAAATGGCAATGAATACATATCTATCGACAACTGAATCTACAAACAAATGAACGGCAGAACAGAAACATTCTCATAGATAGAGAACATTTTGTTGGTTGCCAGATGGGAGGGGAGTTGGGGGAATGGGTGAAAAAGGTAAAGGGATGAAGAAGTACAAATTGGTTGCTAGACTGACAAACCTCAAAGGGAAGGGGGGTTGGGGCATGGGAAGAAATAAACCAAAGAACTTATATGCATAATCAATGGACACAGACAACTGTGTGGCGAAAGGCAGGAGGGTGACGGGAGTGGGGAGGGGATTAATAGGGGGAAAAATGAGGAACATCTGTAATACATTCAACTATAAAGATAAAAAGAAAGAAAGAAAATTGGGAAAACAGGATTATAGTTATTTAAGTAACTGCTATGTGTTAACTCTAGATGTTATTCCACCTCGAAACATTCAAGAGTGTTTCTATTCTATCATGGAAGGAAAAATAAGTATCTGTGGTAAACAATATAATCTTCTGTCAGCAGCATCTCTTGTCTTTTTTTCAGGCCAGTTGTGGACAAAGTGTACAGTTCTCATCAACCCAGGAAATTTCACCATGATTATTTTAAGTCAGTTCATTTTTTAATTTTTAAAAGGATTAAAAATTTTTAGTGGTTTTTAAAATTTTTTACACAGGAAAGGAGGGAGAGAGAGATAGAAACGTCGATGAGAGAGAACAGCAATTGGCCACCTCCTGCCCACTGGGGATCTGGCCCACAACCTGGGCATGTGCCCTGACCGGGAATTGATCCGGTGACCTCTTGGTGCATGGGTTGATGCTCAACCACTGAGCCATACCAGCTGGGCTTAAGTCAGTTTTAAAAATCAAATGTCTTTGTTATACCTTTCGTTGGTCAAGTTGTGAGTTATGAAGTAGTACTGCAGTCATATTTGGATAAAGTTTAACCATTACTCCAGTGTCTCTACAAAAAAGGAAATAGGCCTGGTTAAAACATTAAGTATCTCTGTATCTACTGATAATCAGTCTGTGATTATGTTTTCATAAGAGAGCAAAGTAAAAAAAAACAAAGAAATCTCCCCAATACATGTTTTTTTTCTTTCTTTTTTCCTCCAGTTTTATTTAGACATAATTGACACAACATTGTATTAGTTTAAGGTGTACAACATAATGAATCAGTACTTGGTTTTATAACTATAAAAAGTATGATTATCTAAAAGGGATACTTAACTTTTTTAAAATTGAAAATACACCCTATATTTATTTAATTTTTTTTTTTTTTTTTATCATCCTCACCCGAGGACATTTTTCCATTCTTTGTTCAGATAGAGTGGGAGGAAGAGAGAGGAACAGAGAGAGAGAGAAACATCGATGTGAAAGGGACACATCGAGTGGTCGCCACCCGCACAACCAACCAGGGCCGGGGACAAACTGCAACCGAGGTACATGCTCTTAGCGGGAACCAAACCCGGGTCTCTCCCGACCACAGGCCGATGCTCTAACCGCTGAGCCAAACCGGCCAGGGCTAATTTTTTTTTCTTTATTGATTTTTAGAGAGAGAGAGAAACATTGATGAGAGAAAACATCGATTGGATGTCTCCAGCATGCCCCCAACTGAGGATCAGGCCCACAATCTGGGCATGTGCCCTGGCCAGGAACTGAACCAGTGACCTCTTGGTGCATGAGTCGACGCTCAACCACTGAGCCACACCGGCCAGGCAAAAATACACCCTATATTTAAATACTTGTGTATCAAAGGACAGAGAAAAGATAACAGAAAAATGTGCAGTGAATAGCTTTTAGAATATATATTCTTTTTCTGCATTTCTCTTCATAGTATTTTCCAAAAAATTTTGAAATGACATGAAATATTTTAAGAATCATCATCAACCTATTACATAGTGATTTAAGGAAGAGGGTTAGATAAACTGGGATACTTATTTATCAAAAATTTTCTGTTACGTTCTGTAATCTAAGCCATTCCATTTCTTAATTTTCACCTATAATATTAAATTATCAGTCTTTTTTTTTTTTATATCACATTGTCTTTTATTGTTCATTTCAAATTGCTTTGACATTCATGCTACATCTGATAAATTCTTTTTTTTTCTTAGCGATTTTCTGATCCTTAAAATCCAATCTTTTCTGTCTGGTAAAAAAAAAAAAAGCACTATATTGGCATTAAATAGTACTTATCTTTAAACCAAACCAACAAGAAACTACCAAAAAGGGAAAAAGAAGAAAGAAAGAAAGAAAGAAAGAAAGAAAGAAAGAAAGAAAGAAAGAAAGAAAGAGAGAAAGGAAGGAAGGAAGGAAATATTGCTAAGTCAATTTTGGGCTTGTTAACTGTTTACTGGGAAAATTGAAAAGATGGGATATTTGGTTAAGTAATTCAGTTAGAAGACTATTAATATAATTATAATCACAGAACCATGTTACTAAAAATTTACAAATTGGTGTAAAAAATAAAATTATACTTTAATTAATGATTTTATAGTAACTGACATATAATCTAAACATAATTTCAAAGTAAATAAAGCCAACATAAATGAAGTTAACATGGGCTTATAATAAAAATCTTACTTAAAAAAACCAGCTCGGCATATTACTTGATATTACCTGATTTCAGTTATCGTGGCGGTATATACTGCTCCAAATTCTAATTGCTGCTCTTGCTGTAAGTGCAAAATAAGCCATAAGATTAATTAAGAAAACAGCAACAAAAAGTAAAAAAAAATAAACTTTATAAGATCTGTACTTACATCATCTTTGCAGATTTCTGTAATGAAGTCTCTTGCTTCATGCATAGCACTGGGTATTGGTGCAAATATAGAAAATGTTTCTTCATCTATCTGACTAATGGTTACACCTTTAAAAAAGATAATTAACATATTAAAGTCAACTTGTTCATTCCAGTGGATACTAGTCTTAAAAGTAGATAATGAGTAGAGGAGAGGGACCTGGAAGTAGCTGGGCAGGGTTGTGCTGTGTTTAATCAATGCTTTAGGAATGAAGGGATTTATTCACCAAATACTCACTGCACCTCTCCTATGTATCCAACATTGTGCTAGCCAATGTCCCTTCTTTCTTGTACCCCATAATCTGGATAAAGCATATACATTTTAATTTTGGAGGGTTTAGTTTTGTTTTCTTAATTATGAGTAGAGATCACACTAGAACGCTTTCCTCAACTTTTCCTTTCTCCCTCTTATCCTTTAGAATGGTGAGCAGATGGATGAGGGACGAAATCATGTCAGTTTCTCAACCTTAACCGGCTAAGGGTGATTCCTTCTCACGCCTTCATTAACCTCAAAGGTGGTAAGTACTAGGTAACCCAAAGATTGCTTCCAGAAAAAACAAATTAAAGCATACTATTCCTATACATACTCCTTATATAAGAGTAACACTATGTGAAAAATGGCAAAAGATATCGTAAGAGAAAATTAAAGCAAAACTCCTCTGAAGTGAAAAACTAAACATTTTCCAAAATGATTGATTTTAAATCGTTGCAAAAAAGAAACTAAGGAATTCTAAGTCACCCTTGAATATAGTTAAGGATGTTCATTTGATAATTATTAAGAGGCACACAGAAAACTTACAGTAAAGACATATCTATGTTACATCCTTTTCTCTTCATCTTTCTCTTATTTAGTGAACATACTTTTTTTGGAGAAACACAACAGAAATGAAATGGCAAACTTACATGACTGATCATTAAATAAAAAACTGAAACTCCATACAACACTTACCCGTTTCAGCTTGAAGTTTTTTTAAATTATATCCACCTGGTCCAACAAATTTTGCTCGTTTTGATAATGGAACCTGAACTGTTTCTGAAATGTAGTATAGATAAAAATATAATTAATTCAAATACATATATGAATATAAAACATATCCTGGTCACTTAAGATTTTTTTTGGCCTAGACACATAAAAATATTTCAGTATGAAATAGAAAAACAAGAACATGGACAACAAAGCTGGGGACAGGGTAGGGAGGGAGGGAGAAGGGGGTTTTAGTGGGGGGAAAAAGGAGAAACATCTGTTAACAAAAATTAATTAATTAATAAAAAAAAGTACTTAGAAAAAAATAGAAAAACAATTTGTTACCTGACTAAAATTACTACTGAAAGTTCTAGTATCAAGAATATTCCCCGCCCTGGCCGGTTTGGCTCAGCGGTTAGAGCGTCGGCCTGCGGTACAGAGAGACTCGGGTTCGGTTCCTGCTAAGGGCACGTACCTCGGTTGCAGTTTGTCCCCGGCCCTGGTTGGTCGTGCGGGTGGCAACCACTCGATGTGTCCCTTCACATCGATGTTTCTCTCTCTCTCTCTCTCCCTCCCGCTCTGTCTGAACAAAAAATGCAAAAATGTCCTCGGGTGAGGATTAAAAAAAAAAAAAGAATATTCCCCAAATTTAAAGTATTATAAAAGCATTTAAAATAATTTTGTTTTGTAGATGGAGTTAAAAATATTGAAAAATAGTAATATACTCTCAGATACTAATATTTGCCTTATTGTGAAATCAGTAATAATTTTAATATATTACCTACAACAGGTCCATTTTCTTTTCTAGATGCCCGAGGTTTTGAAATAATTTTGTTCATAATCTGTAATATCTCCTTCTTTGCCACTAGGAGAGATTAAAAATGATAATTATATAAAAAAATATGATCAGATATAGCAGAAGTATTCCTAGTTTTTATGGCATAAAATTCAAACTTCTTTAGCTTAATAATCAAAGCTCTTCACAACCCAGTTACCTTGACAATTCTACTCCTATTTCCTTCTCTATAAATCCTATCTTAGAGAGTTACTTAATTTGTAAAAATTGAGTTTTGACTTGTGTCCCACTTTGGTGGTTAGTCATGTGCCTAATAACTTAATACTTCTTTATGTAGGGTATTAACATAAAATTTTATTTTCTAAAGCAATACTTTATAATAAGCCTTTCTTTTTTCTTTTTTTTATAATAAGCCTACTGGGAATTAAAAAAAAAAAAATCAATGGAAACAATAACCTCAGGTGAGGATTAACAAAAACAAAGAAAACCAATGCTAAGAGTCACTGCTGTAGCTAGGGTCTAGGAACAGTGCTAAGTGCTCCAACACACTATCACATGTAACCTGCACAATGACCCTATGAGGTAAATGCTATTATTAGCCTCTTTTACAGATGAGAAAATTGAAAGGGGATATGACTAGCCCAAGTTACACAGGCTTGATGGTGTCAGATAAAATTCTAGGCAGGTGACACCTGGAGGCTGGCAGGGAGAGGGAAAAGGTGCAGTGAGGTGCTTGATGAACAGGCCAATCACTTTGCCTGTTCTGAGCCTCGGCTTCTGCATTAGGGAATTGAGGATCGTTCTACTGAGCTGCAAAGCACTTTTAAAATCTCTTATAATCCAACTACTTCATCATATAGGTGTGTTTCCTTTCAGTTCTTTTCCTATGCACGTTTTTAAAACAAAACTGGGATCTTATCATAGACGTAGTGCATTGCTTGTATTTTTTCCTTCATTCTTAGAGGAGCTAAATCGACAATTAAACTAGATAATGATGAGAGGAGAATGAGGCATACTAGCTTGGCTTACCTGAAGCTTGCTGAATGGCCTCCATTACAATTTTTAATGGTATTCCAGGTAATTTAATATCAGCCTAATAAGGAAAAGCCCAAAAATGATATAACTATTGATTCATGACATTGTTAAATATGATAAAAATGAAACAAAATGGGTTTAAAAATACCTGTAATGCAGTTATTCCCTTATTAGTGCCGGCTATTTTGAAATCCATGTCACCATTGTAATCTTCAATTCCCTTAAGGAGTTTAAGAAATTATGGTATAGTTTTAAACAAAAACAAAATTTACTCAGTCATCATAGAAGAATTTTAAAAAATAGCTTTAGAAGTAAACTGTGTGCTCTAAGATGACACACAAAGACACATTTCCTACATTAACAGCTGCTTTCAATATGTGACTTTTTAAGTTACAAATATTTCAACAGAAAAATCACTATTTTTAGATCATGTTTTCCCCCTAAATGCAAGAGAACTAGTTTAAGATCATTCTAAAGTGAGCTGTATTATGGATACTTATATATATATATATGTTTATATATTTATACATATTTTATCCTCACCCAAGGATATTTTTCTACTTATCTTCAGATACAGTGGGAGAGAGGGAAAGAGACAGAGAGAACACACTGACTGGTTGCCTCCCGCATGATCCCAACCAGGGTGGGGATGAACGGCAACTGAGGTATGTGCCCTTGGCCGGAATCGAACCCGTGACTCTTTGGTCTGCGGGCTGACGCTCCAACCACTGAGCCAAACTGGCCAGGGCCAGAAACCTTTAAAAAAAAATTTTTTTTTTCTTTACTGATTTTAGAGAGGAAGGGAGAGGAAGAGATAGAAACATCAATGAGCGAGAACATCAATTAGCAGCCTTCTGTACACCCCCCCCCACTGGGGATCAGGCCCACCTGAGCACATGCCCTGACCGGGAATTGAACCGGCAACCTCTTGGTGCATAGGTCAACACTCAACCACTGAGCCACACCAGCCAGGCTGTAATATATATTTTTAACTTTCATCCTGTAATATCCAAGGAGAATATGCAGAGGAGGAAGGCAAGAACAAGGACCTCTATTTCTTGATTTCTAGCATTCTTCTAAGCATAGGATGCTTGTAAAGTATGTATAATATTTATTGGATTATTGGAAAATGTGAATATACTTGCCAGAATATCTGTTAGCAAACGATAATCTTCTATTTCATCCTTGTCAGGATTGTTTTTGGTGACCAATCCTATTGCCACACCTGCGACAGCAGATGAAATAGGAACCCCTGTAATTGAGAGAAAGAACTTTTGTGTGATATATATATCAGCCTAACATGTGTATTTATCATTTTGTTGACATTTATTTTAATGTTAGTGATGGTATTCTAAATTGACAGTCACCAAAACTAAGTTGGAAAGGTCTTTAAAAAAAAAAATTTTTTTTAATTGATTTTTTTGCGAGAGGAAAGGAGAAGGAGAGACAGAAAAATCAATGCAAAGAGTGAAACATTAATTGGCTGCCTCCTGCATGCCTCCTACCAGGGATCAAGGGCCCATCACATGTGCCCAACAGGGAATCAAACAGGCAACCTTTCAGTGCATGGGATAACACCCAACCAGCTGAGCCACACCAGCCAGGGCTGGATAGATCTTATTAAGTCATCTAACTACTTCACCTTTTCTTAAACATATAATAAAAGCCCCTTAAAAACAATTCTAACAGGTAATAACTGTTCTCAGCACTAACCTCTCTAATAATAGTAAACTTAACTCTTTTATTTATTGATTGATTTTAGAGAGAGAGGGAGAAGGAGGGATATGGAGGGAGAGGGAGGGAAAGAGAGAGAGACATTAGTTTGTTGTTCCACTTATTCATGCTTTCATTGGTTGCTTCTTATATGTGCTCTGATCAGAGATCGAACCTGCATCCTTGGCATATTGGGATGATGCTCTAACCCAGCCAGGGCCAGTAAACTTAACTTTTAAAGTACTCTGTTTCTTTGCCCTTTGCTCTTGGTGCCTTTTCCCTTTCAGCCTGGACCTCTCAATCCACCTCCTCATGAAAGCCATTGTTAGGTCTTTTGTGTACCTTTCCAGAAAATCTCTGTGCACAAGTATAAATATAAGTGTAATCTTTTATTTTCTTTTTTGACCCATGAAGCATTTTGCTTTTTTTTCACTTAACGCCTTGGATATTGACACATAACAAAGCTCTACCTTACTCTTTTGAGTGGCTGCATAGTACTTCCCATATGTGTTTAAAAGTCACACAACAGAAGTGGTATTACTGAGTCAAAGGGTGTGTGGATTTAAGTTTGTTACACTGCCTTCCAAAAAGTGTAGCATTTTATGCTTTTCTCAGTATAACATGTATGAGGGTAACTGCTATTCTACATTCTTAATTTTTGTCAAATCTTTTGACCTTTGCCCATCTAAAGGGTAAAAGTGGTAGCCATTGTTTAAATTTTATTTGTTTTTATGAGTGAGGTTGAACTTTTCATGTTTATAAACCATTTATATTTCCTTTCCTGTGAACTGCCTGTTCATGCCCTTAAACCACTTCTTGGTTGTTAGTCTCCTGCTGATTCACAAGAGCTCTTTCAAAATGAACAGCAGATCTTTCTTAAATATAAATGTATAATATTATAGTAAATAAAGTATATTAAATATAATTTCTAGCCCTGGCCAGTTTTGCTTAACAGTTAGTGCATTGGCCTTTGGACCAATGGGTCACAGGTTCGATTTTGGTCAAGGGCATGTACCTTGGTTGCAGTTTGTCCCTGGCCCTGGTTGGGGTTGTGAGGGAGGCAGCCAATGTATCCCTCTCACTTTGATGTTTCTCTCTCTCCCTCCCTCCCTCCCACTCTATCTGAAGATAATCAGAAAAGTATCCATGGGTGAGGATTAAAAAAAAAAAATATATATATAATTTCTAGACTGCTGACTTGGTTTTTTCCTATACAGAATTTTAACAGTTATATGCAATCATGGTTCCTGGTTTGTGTGTAGAAAGGTTTTACCCCTGTAAGATTTTGATTTTTTTTTTTAAATAAAAAGGTTAAATTTTGATCATTTGAAACTTATTTGGTATAATGGAGTGTGACAGGGATTTCATTTCATATTCTCCAAACATACCTCACTTGTGCCCATGGTTTTAACTATCACCTATAATGATGATGACTTAAAAATCCATCCCTCCTATTTCACTCTTTGCTAATAAGCCCTGGAGATGTTAGCCAATATGCATATTGGACATGTCCAGCTAAAAGTCTCCAGAGCATCTTAAAAAAACATTTAATGACCCCCAATAAATCATTTTTCTCCTGCATTCCCTATCTTGGTTGAAAACAACTAAGACACTCGTGTCACAATCAACACTTCTTTCCTTATTTCTGATCTTATCAGGTCACAAAGATCTGATTAGTGTGTCCTCTAAGTATTTAGAAAGTTCTCCCTTTCTCCTAAATATTGCAACATCCACTATTACTCTTTAATCCAAGTCAGCATCATTTCTTGCCCTGCCAACCGTCTCCCTGTATGATTTCCTTGATTTTAGCCTCTTTCCAGCTTTTGAAATTCTCTCCTACTGCATTCCTTAAGGATATCAACTAGCTTTTAGGGGGGGGGAGATGGGGGCAGCGGCAGATTCAAATCATGCCACTCTATATAAAATCCTTCAAGTCCCCCATCACATCCTTTCAGTGATCAAAAAGTTTGGGAAATAGTACACATCTGTTCCTAGAGATTCAGTATTCCCACTAGCATAGTAAGGTCTATTGACCCCATAAATAAACATGCTTAAGCCTGCTCCCATATACTTTAGAATAGAATAAGTTTTCTCATGGTATACAATAATCAACATCCTATGGAACAGAGTTAGGAAATACTGGCTTTAAGTTCAAATTCCTTAACACAACAATGACATTTAAAATCTGGTCCCAGTTCATTACTTCATCACTTCTTTACAATACATGTATTATCGGAAACATACTATATTGCTTCATAACTTTTCACGTGCTGTTTTTTTTTAACAGGAAATACAGGCCTTGCTCCTAATATGCCTGGTCAACAACTATTCAACCTTTAAAACCAGATGAAATGTAGCTATCTCTATAAAACCAATTACCTTCAACCTAGTTCTTCATTCATATTGTACAAATATGTACTGTGTACATATTTTAAATATCTCTTTGATCTGTATATTTTTTTTGTACCTGTAAAAACTTTAAAAAAATGTTTTTATTGATTTTATTAGAGAGAGAGAGGAAGGGATAGAAACACTGATATGAAATATCTATCGGCTGCCTCCTGCATGCCCCCCACCAGAGATTTAGCTTACAAGCCAGGCATGTGCCCTGACCGAGAATCGAACTGGGACCTCCCAGTCCAAGGGATAATGCTCAATCCACTGAGCCACACTGCTAGGCACCCCTGTAAAAACTTAAAAAAAAAAAAGTGTACCATTTGTATCCCTGGAACACAGAACAGTGCCTGAAATAGGGCATGACAAGTACTCATGTTTGAAATGAATTGTATACCCTTTGCTGGCACTTCCCACAGGATGTGAACATTCTTGTCAAATTTAATTTTTTAAAATATTTGGCTCCATATTTTTGAATTGTTAAGACTGTTTGAGAGATCAGAAATATTAACATATTACTTACTCTTTTTTATCAACATCCTTTCTTTTTTTTTTTTTTTTTTTTTTATCATCCTCACCCGAGGACATTTTTCCATTTTTTGTTCAGATAGAGCGGGAGGGAGAGAGAGGAAGAAAGAGAGAGAGAGAAACATCGATGTGAAAGGGACACATCGAGTGGTCGCCACCCGCACAACCAACCAGGGCCGGGGACAAACTGCAAATGAGGTACGTGCCCCTAGCGGGAACCGAACCCGGGTCCCTCCGGACCGCAGGCCAATGCTCTAACCGCTGAGCCAAACCGGCCAGGGCTCAACATCCTTTCTTAAATCCTCACCCGAGGATATGTTCATTGATTTTAGAGATAAAGGAGGGTGGGGTGAGAGAGAAACATCAATTGGTTGCCTTCTGTATGTACCCCAACCAGGGATTGAACCCGCAACCCAGGTATGTGCCCTGACTGGGAATCGAACTCGAAACTGATTGATGTATGGGACAATGCTCCAATCAACTAAGCCATCTGTAATCGTTTTTTTATCAGTAGGCCTGTGTTCTCAGTTAACTGAAGAACAAAAACAATGAAAATGATAAGGTTTAGGGTGACACATCCTGAAGTATTCCACTTGAGACCCCTCGCCTACTGACTGATCAGATTAACCAATCCCCTTTGCTCATCTTTCAACCACTTATGAAAGGTGCACCTATCATCCAGTTTCAATTTCTGCGTCATTTATACAAAGATCATAAACTGCCAATGCTGAATTCTAGATACAATGCATAAGCAGTACCCTCCCTCCTTACTCCAAACCTATATTTTTGAAAAAAAGAAAAAAAAAAAAATGAGTTTACTATGGCATGACTTATTTTGAGTCCCTCTGGTTCCTTCTCTCTCAAACCCTCTTCCCTTATAAAATCCTTATAAACCATTCTTTTTATAGTGCATTTAAGAATCTTTGCCAAGGGTCACTCTCAGGCTTACTGGATTATACTTAATAGAAAATACCTTTCTTATCTTTCACAAGTAAAAACTTTTTGTGTCCTTTGTATACTTACCAGTCTCTACGATTTCTTGTCATTACTTAGGATGGATTTTTGTCTAGATCAAAACACCTGAATTCATTTAAAACAGTTAAAAACTCTCTTATAATCTCTGTTCAGTTCATCTTTTTCAGGATTTGTTCTGTGTTTTCCAATCTGAGATTAGAAGACTGATGAATGCATGCTCCACAAGGACAGGGTCTTTGTTTTGTGTCCTAAGAGCTTAGATCAGTGCTTGGTACAGAAGTGGCATACAGTAAAGATTTGTTGAATGAATGCATGAAAGTGAAAACAGGAACAGTATTTTACTATTTACCTTAAATATCAGATTATGTTTCCCTTCCACCAAATACAACTATAAAAGTGCCTTTAATTGCTTTTAGCTTTCCTTTGGCTTAAGTTTTAATCTTCCTAGATAACGTTATATATTCACACCATTCTTTTACTTCATCCTTGGCTGGTTTGTCCTATCTTTCATATCTGTACTGTAAATACATAAACTTGTAGGGAACTCCTTGTGTGGCCTCTTGGGTGACTTTAGGTTCCTTTTGTTTTTCTTAAATAGCATCATTGGTGTCTATTTGGCAATAATTATCAGAGTCTCTTAACATTCTCTTTCCCTTTTGGTATTTCAGACCCAGAGATTATATTCAACCACTTGCAGTCTTCCTTCCTAAAATTCTGTGTACACTCTCTGAGTGGCACTGTTATTCTCATGGCTTATACAAAGCGACTGGAAGATTACATGAATATTTTCCCTTATAGGTCCTGATACTTCTGCTTGCTAATCCAAACTTCTTTGGTAAATGGAATCAACTGTGGAGCTCTCTACCTTTTGGAAGGTGAGAAAGCTCACTGGGTCACCAAGGGCAAGTAAGTAATTTCACTATATTGCTTTTAGCCAAAAAATAGGAATACCAGCAGATATCTGTATAGTTAAAGTTGTCCGTTGTAACTATTTTGCTTCTGATCTGGTATGATAACCTGTAATCTGATTTCTCCAAGTCTTACTAATACTCAATTTTAAAGAGACCTTATATTTTATACTAGTCAAGTATATATAAAGCTATTAGAAGTTTTGAAACATAATTCTTTTACCTGCATCCATTAATGCTAAACTTCCACAACATGCCGATGCCATAGAAGATGATCCTACAGAAAGAAAAATATTTGCTTTATAATATACTGATTTAAAAAAAATATATACAAAATTATTAGTGTTGGTTATTTCCTTACAGATATTCAATTATAATATTAAGTTTAATATTCTTGCCTTCTTTTTAGAGCACTTAAGGCAAATACTTCTAAACCATGAACTATAGAGCTGCATGGTCCAATAAGATAGGCATTTAGCCATGTGTGGCTACTAAATTTAAGTTGAAGTAAATTCAGTCCCTCAGTGGATAGCACGGAGATTGAAAATTTTTATCATTGAAAAAAGCATGGTAGAGATGCTTTTTGGTAGAGATTCGAAGAATCCTCCCTGAGGAACCAGCTTAACCAGAAGGCAGTTAAAGATACAGGGCTTTGGCCCTGGCAGGTTTAAGTCAACGGTTAGAGCGTCGGCCTGCGGTCCGGAGCGACCCAGGTTTGGTTCCCGCTAAGGGCATGTACCTTGGTTGCAGTTTGTGTCCAGCCCTGGTTGGGTTGTGCGGGAGGCAGCTACTCGATGTGTCCCTTTCACGTCATTGTTTGTCTCTCTTTCTCTCTCTCTCTCCCCCTCCCACTCTATCTGAACAAAAAATGGAAAAATGTCCTTGGGTGAGGATAAAAAAAAAAAAAGATAGAGGGCTTTGGCTCTCTCACTGGGCCATAAGCAGTAGCCTAAGCCACACCTAGTAAAAAACATAAGTCTCTAATTTAAATTCTGAGCTTACTTTCTTTTTTTTTTTTTTTTTTTATCCTCATCCGAGGACATTTTTCCATTTTTTGTTCAGGTAGAGTGGGAGGGAGAGAGAGGAACAGAGAGAGAGAGAAACATCGATGTGAAAGGAACACATCGAGTGGCTGCCACCCGCATGACCCAACCAGGGCCGGGGACAAACTGCAACCGAGGTACGTGCCCTTAGCGGGAACCGAACCTGGGTCTCTCAGGACCGCAGGTCGACGCTCTAACCGCTGAGCCAAACCGGCCAGGGCTGAGCTTACTTTCTTTGCTTAAAAAACAAAACAAAAACAAAAACTGTGACCACCTGATCTATGTCTGCTACATATTTGAGAACTCTGTACCCTTTCTGCCTTTAATGACTACCTTGCCTTGACTTGTGGACTGATTTTTAAAAACTTTAATTTGACCTTTTAACCTAGCCTCTCTGTGGTATCTGTTTATATCTGTGATAATGACAGGTGTTCCCTGCCTAATGGATCACTCTATTTTGGTCCTTCCACTCTATGGTTTGTAAAAATAAAGAAACAACCCAAACTGGATCTACTATGACAGATACATAAAGAGAAATATTGTCTATTGCTTTCACAATATCTAGTTAGATAAGAACAGAGATGCAGACAAGTATATGATTGACTAAACATATTTTCTCTTGCAGTGGGTTCAGGTACTATTAATAATAAACATTGTAACATTAGCTCTGAAAACGTAAGAATACAACAGGGGATCTGGTCTTTTTGACTAGGAAAAATATATTTCAATGCCATACCATTTGACTCCAGGACTTCAGATGTGACTCTTATAGTAAAAGGAAAGTCTTTGGGAATAACAGGATACAAAGCTTTCTCAGCAAGAGCACCTAAATTAGAATAAAAATAATGAGCAAAAAATGTAGTAAGTCTCTGTAAGAATACCATATACGTTTATAGATTTGTACTCACCATGCCCAAGTTCTCTTCTATTTACACCAGTGACTTTGCCAATTTCATTTGTTGCATAAGGAGGAAACTTAAAAAAAAAACACACACACAAATAGGCCCACAAATTTATACAACTGACATGGAAAGATATCCAAGATATATTACCAAAATAATAAAACAAGTTACAAAACTGTAGAATCCCATTTTGTTAAAATATAGCACACACAGAGAAAAAAAAGTCTGGGTATCTAAAATACATATCAAATTGCTAAAGGTAGGTGTCTAGTGTATGTATATATTCTGTACCGCAGGCTGACGCTCCAACCGCTGAGCCAAACCGGCCAGGGCTAGTGTATGTATATATTAATGAGAGTGGGAAGTGGATGCTTATGTGAATTTATACCATAAATTTCTGTAATATTTAAATTATTAGTGATATATATATATATTTTAATCCTCACCTGAGGATATTTTTTAATTAATTTTTTATAGTGAGAGGGAGAGGGAGCAAGAGAGAGAAACATTGATGTGAGAGAGAAACATCGATGTGAGAGAGAAACATTGATTGGCTGCTCCCTGTATGTACCCTGACCAGGGACTGAACCTGCATCTGGGTATGTGCCCTGACCAGGAACCAAACCCGAGACCCCTTGGTGCACAGGACAATGCTCCAACCAACTAAGCCACATTGGTCAGTCAGGGCAAGATATATTTTTGTAATAAGAAAAAATATATATACATATTTTAAAAAATCTACATTGAGGAGACAGACCTTTTCTAGTAAGGGTTTTACTTTAGAAAGAGGTTGCAAACTTTTATTTGATTTAATACATTGTCTTAAAGGGATATGAATTAGTTGCGATCATTTTAAAGATTGGGAAAATTTCCAACAAAAGCTGGAATTCCATTTTTTTAACAAAATATTTTAAAGAAGGAGTAATGGAATATGAATCTGATCAAGTTCTGGACTTAGCAGTCAATTTGCAGGAGATGGGAAGGACAGAGGAACATCCTGAACTGCACCATGAGTGCAGCACCACCCAGACTGTGGTGAACTCTGAGGCTTCAACAGACAGATAATAAAAGAAATGAATGCAATGAAGGAGAAATTTATGGGTTAAAAGAGACTTTAAATAAATATCAAAAATTTTTAATGGACAAGACTAAACTATAGTAGCTAGGGATGTACACTAGAAACACAAGGAAGTGATTATTATAAACTTAGGAGAATAGTTACTTTTAGGGGAAGAAGGGTGTTGAGGCTGGCATGAAAAATTTGGAGTGGCTTCTGGGGCGACTGGCAACATTTCATTCTCTGACGTGGGTGGTGGTTACATGGATGTCTGGCCTTATAAAAACTCATTAAACCATGCTTTGTTTTTTATGGTTTTCAGGATCTGTATTTTGTTTCACAATAAAAAGATTTTAAAAAATGTGATAATACAACATAGCCCATATTTTTGTCCTATACTCTCCCCTACCTCTTTTCCCAATATCAGCTAAAGCTACATTTTCAGAACTGCCCTTTTAAAAAAGATTGCTGTGTGCTCTTTAGCTTATGATAAAAGATGTGCTTGTGTAGCATCTGGGTATATCCAGAACAGGGTATTTATAAGGTTGACTCCAGATCTGTGAGAATCACCAGGTTTATGGATATTCTCTAGCATATATTACAAGAAATGTTCTCTATTAATTATTAGCGGGTTCACTAAAATTGAGATACAGGGATTCTAGGCAGCCAACAACAGTCACTCAAAGGTTAAGTAACTTGCTACTTTACACTAGCCTCCCACTGTGTATGCTTTAAAAACTAAAATTAAAATATTATATGTCATGTCTGGTCCTTTATAATTCGTTGTGAATAAAGTCAATCACAAACTCAATTATATATAATAATTTCATATAAAGTACTTTAATATTAAATACCTCAGTTCTTTGATTACTAATCAACTGAGTAAAAATATGAACATATAAATGAACTAAAAGAAGGTAATTAATTTGCCAGCTGAGGTATTTGAAAAGCCCCACTGTTGTTCGACACATGTGAATAAGTACAATGCTTTCTTGACTAAAACAATATTGTCTACTTTATGTTAATGTATGACTCAGAAGAAGAAGTTGCTGACTGGATAGCTGCTATTTATATCTCTATATCCTGTCTGTATACAATAAAGTAACAGCCCCCAAATCTACCTTAATAGATATATGATAAAACTAGCATAGTAATATGTTAATGATACAACCTAGGCAGTGGTTATACAGGTATTCACTGTAAAATTCTTTCAACTTTGCTGTAAATTTTTCAAGATAAAATATTTTCATAATAAAAAATTCACCTTACCTCATAGTGCAGCATGAAATTTTTATCTTTTATCCCACTACAAACAAAACACATAATATTCAAACCATCATACAGATACAAATACATTTATTTCAATAAATAATCAAAAGATTTAAGGAATTAAAAAACACATAATTGGGTATCAGAGTTGGTGTGAACTGAAATTGAGAATTGGAAAGATGTCAGAGACAGTCTTTTTTCTGGGTCTTATAATTGAATTCTACACAGATTTAGGAAAACAATTTTGCTTTAAGTACAACAAGCACTTAAATACCCAGATTTGAATACTAAAACCATACATACATAATTTTTTTTTTTTGTACGTGCTCCTAGTGGGAACTGAACCCAGGACTCCCTGGTCCACAGGCCGACACTCCAACCGCTGAGCCAAACAGGCCAGGGCTATATTTTTAAGCATAATAACTATTGGGAAAATTCTAAATGTTATAAACTCATTAGTTAAATCTCAGTTACAATCTTTCTCCCAGTCAACATGTGGAATGCAGATCAGTAACTGAAATGTTATAGCTGAGGGCAATGAGAAGATCTATCAGGCAAAAAAGATCTTTTCAGGGTTTGAAGCTGTGTTGCCTCCTAGAGGAGAAAGGAGTCAGAGTGAAGGAGGGAAGGGCAACCAAGTTTTGGCCCAGATGAGAATTTATAATACAAAGTATAAGAGCTCCCTTCAAAGAATTATGATTGGGATGAACATTCCAATCTTACACAA